ATGGAATCAGTCAGAGTTCCAAGAGCTGGGCTGATTTCTTCCCCAGAACTAGTGACCAATGAGGTCACCATCCCTGGTAAACCTGGAGAGACAGTAAAAATTGAAACAGCTGAACTGACTTCTGCCCTGGAATGGGTGACTGGTATGGCTGTAGTCTCTGTTTCGTGAAGGGAATCAGTCATAGTTGGAATAGTTGTAGTAGTTTCTGCTTCAGAGCTAGTGACCAGTGAGGTCACCATATCCAGGACACCAGGTAAGACAGTCAGAACTGGAACAGCAGAGCTGGCTTCGTCCCCAGGACTGGTGGTCATTGAAGGTGTGCTGTCTGCTTCACTGTGGGAAACATTTGGGGTAGTCCTGCGAACATTTGGGCTGGTCTCTGTAGGATATGTGACTGATGCGGCTGCTGTATCTGGCTCACCAGGGGAATCAGTCATAGCTGGGGTAGCCATGCTGGTCTCTGCCCCAGAACTAGTGACCAGTGAGGTCACCATCCTCTGCTTACTAGAGGAGACCGTTGGAGTTAAAACAGCTGAACTGGTCTGTACCCCAGGATGAGTGGTCAGTGAGGCTGTGGTCACTGATTGACCTGGGGAATCGGTCATAGCTGGAATACTTGTATTAGTCTCTGCCCCAGAACTAGTGACCAGTGAGGTCACCATCCCCTGCTCACTAGAGGAGACAGCTGGAGTTGAAACAGCTGAACTGGTCTGTGCCCCAGGATGAGTGGTCAGTGAGGCTGTGGTCACTGATTGACCTAGGGAATCAGTCATAGATGGAATAGTTGTACTGGTGTCTGCCCCAGAACTAGTGACCAGTGAGGTCACCATATCCAGGACACCAGGAGAGACAGTCAGAGTTGGAACAGCTGAACTGGCTTCTGCCTGAGAACTGGTGGCCACTGAGGGTGTGGTGTCTGATATGCTGTAGGAAATATTCAGGGTTGTCCTGGGAACAGTTGGGCTGGTCTCTGCAGGATGGGTGACCCATGAGGTTGTTGTCTCTGGTTCACGAGGAGAATCAGTCAGAGCTCCAAGAGCTGGGCTGGTCTCTGCTGCAGAACTAGGGACCAGTAAGTTTGTGGTCTCTGGCTCACTCTTGAAAGCAAATGGAGTTCTCCTGGGAACAGCTGTGCTGGTCTCTGCCCCAGGCCAGGTGGCCAGCGAGGCTGTCATCTCTAGAACATTGGGAGAAACAGCTGGGGTTGTGATGATCAGTCCTGTTGTGCTGGAGGTGGCTGTGTCACCTGATGTCCTGAGGGCAGTCAGTGTTCCCGAGGTGCCAGTGGAGGGAGTGGTCGGAATCGCTGTGCCTCCTGTGACCTTCAGAGCTGTGACAGTGGTCTCTGCCCTCTCTGTCCCTCTTGTGGGTAGTACTGTAAATTGGGGATAAGCACAAAATTTGGACAAGACCAAATTACTTACTGGACTACAAATAACTTGTTTTTTCTCCACTGTCTCTCAGTTATTGCTACATGGGATACACCTGGGATGCTTCTGGAATGGGAAAGGGGCCTGTGATTGGCATTCACCTACCTGTCCTGCCTAATTTTGGGTTAAAAGTCCTCCACAGACTCTTGATCAGACTAGTCCACTCCCTGCTCCCAAATATTTTCTGTACTCTCCAGCCTCTGAGCCTTTGTTCAAGCTGTTCTCTCTGCCTGACACACCCATACCCCATAGATTCTTACATTCTGCCCTTCTTCAAACCCAAGCTCAAACCACCTTCACAAATTCACATCAGAATTCATCTTCTCCACCTCTCAGTATTTCCTTATCACACTCTCTGAACCTGTTCTGTACCACCCCTCACAGTCTGCTCGGTAATAGCTATTAATGTCTGAGTGCTTGGCATATAGTAGGTGCTCAACAAATATTTATTGAATGAATGAATACATGGATGGATGGATGGATAGATGTGGATGGATGGATGGATGCATAAAGTGGTCTCCTCTGACTTGACAGAGATCATGTATCATAGTGTCTGAGAACTTGGGCTCTGGAATAAGACAGTCTGGCTCTTCTGCTAAATAAATGTGTGGCTCTTTATATTACCAAACCTTATAGACTTCCATTTCTCACCTATAAAGTGGGGATAGGTATGGGGTCGTCTCAGGGGGTTGTCAGAAACGCACCAAATGTAGTGCCTGCTGGATCACAATAATACATTACTACTGTTACTCCTACCACTACTATCTACCACTACTTCTGTTACTACTGCAGTTACTATAACCATTACTACTACCTGCCATTACTGCTGTTATTACTACTGTTACTGTTATTACTCCTCTCTATTATTATTACTACTGCCATTACTACTACTATTATCACCTACCATTACTAGTGTTATTACTGTGGTTACTACTACTATTACCTACTACTGCTGTTATGAGTCAGAATTTACTCAACAGCACACAGCAATAACTGCTACTATTACTGTCTGCTGCTAGCACTGTTAGAATGCCTACTGCTACTACAAAGTAAACGTTTGCTGAATTAAATTCACCAGGAATTACACTAGTCTAGTACCAGAGCTGGCCAAGGGGATGGAAATACAGCCTTTGAAAAAGAGTAAAGTGGCATTGGCTGAGACAGCAACTACTGATCAGGCCTTCAGAAAATGGCTCCCAGGGAGGAGAAAAAACACCTGGAGGCTCCTCTAGAAAGACCACAAAGTCTGCTGGAGTTCATTGCAGGGAGAGGGGAAAAACAAAGGCGATTTTGACTCCCATGATGGGTCAGGCCTGCCAGTGGTACACACCAGTATCCCTGGTGTAGCTGAGAATACCTTAAAGACCTTATTTCTGAGAGTGCACATTCAGTTCTTTATATGTATTTGATGATGATGATGAGGAGGAGGAGGTGCAATGGCAAAGACTCTTACATGCTTTGAAAGGTCCCTGGGTGGCACGAGCAGTTTGCTCTCAAATACCAACCGAACGATTGGTGGTTTGAACTCACCCATCGGTGCCACAGAAGAAAGGCCTGGTGATCTGCTTCTGTAAAGATTACAGCCAAGAACACCCTATGGAGCAGTTCTACTCTGTAACACATGGGGTCGCCATGAATCAGAATCGACTCAGTGACAGTGGGTTTGTTTTTTTTTTTTTTTTTTTTGCATGCTGATCTTTTTTTCCTCGTAAGAACACTAAATGGTATGTCCTGTTAGTCTTGTCATTTAACAGAATAGAAAACCTGAACTCAGAGACCATCAGCTACTGGCTGATGACATGGAAATCTGAAAAGAGTTGTCTGAGCCCTAAACCCATGCTCTTAACCACTGCATTATATTAACTCCCTAACTGAATTCCAGGACCCACGGGGGCTAGGATGGAAAGAGAAGAAAGTGAGGAGAACACCGTCCATCTAGGATTTTACAAGCGCGTCCTAGTTCAGTGGTTCTCAATCGGGAAATTTTGCCCCCAGGGGACACTTGGCAATGTCTGGAGACATTTTTGGTTGTCAAAACTGTGTGTAGGGAGGTGCTACTGTCATTGAGAGGGTAGAGGCCAGGGATACTGCTAAACATCCTACAATGCACAGGACAGCCCCCCCCCACCACAAAGAATTATCTGGCTCCAAATGTCAGTAGTGCCAAGAGGAGACAGTCAACTCTCTAGATTGAAAGGAGCCAATGAGTGTGGCTCGCTATCCCTAACAAACTTTGCCATTTCCTATTTTTAAATCCATTTTCCAGTGGCCATGCCCCACTCATGTCCTGCCAGCACTCAGCATTCCAGTATAGGTCAAGGGGGCGGGTCCTACTGTAGCCCCTGTGACTTCACACCTGAGGTGTGTAGGACAGGCCAGACATGCTAGGGGTCAGCACCTACTAGGAGCCAGCGGCCACCCACCGAGATGGAAGGAGTTGGATGGTAAATACCCCAGCCACCTTGCCCGTTGGGTAGGACAACTCAGAGGTGTTCTGCACTATCTCCGAGAGGTCCCCATTGGGACTGACACTCTGTTGCTCATAGCTGTGACCTGCTCATGAATGCCCCCTGCATTGGCTCCTTCCCCTTCTCTTATCTGCCTCCCCTTCCAGTGCTTCTGGAATCATCTGCCACTTAAGATAAACTTGTTATTGTTGGCCCCCAACTCATGGTGTTTCCATGCAGTATGGAATGAAACATTGCCGGGTCCTGCGCCATCCCTACGGTGGGTTGGGGATCGAACCATTGTGATCCATAGGGTTTTCACTGGCTGATTTTCAGAAGTTGGTCACCAGGCCTTTTATTCTAGTTCATCTTAGTCTGGAAGCTCCACTGAAACCTGTTCAGCATCATAGCAGCATTGAGAGATGGGTGGTAGCTGTGCTAACGTGCATTGGCTGGGAATCGAACCTGGGTCTCCCGTGTTGAAGACCAGAATTCTACCACTGAACTACTAATGCCTCATTAAGATAAACTACTTGCCCACATATCCTAGACTCAGCATCTGCTTCTGGGGAATCCAACCTAAGATATCTGGGTCACAGGATAGGATGAATACCTGGCTGGAGGTGACTCTATCCAAAGCCACTTAGGATGAATCTTAAAAAAACTTCCAAAGTGTGCTGGTAAAATAGTCTGCTCTATAAATTCCTTAGGAGTAGCTTATTATATATGGGAAGCTTTACCTTTTAGCCACGCAGCGAGGAAGACCCCTTGCTATCTACACCTGCAACTTTTAAACTCTTGTGCAGAACAGAACTCTGTGAAATGTTAGTAGGGACCTTTCAGAGAAGAAATTATACAGTCAAATAATTGTGTAAAACCCTGGATTGAACAAAGCTCAGCAAGTTTTTTTATAGTAAACTGGTAAACCAGTTGCCGCTGAGTTGATTCTGACTCATGGTGACCCCATGTGTATCAGAGTAGAACTGTGTAGAAAAAGATAGGGTTTTCAATGGCTGATTTTTCAGAAATCAGTTGCCAGGCCTTTATTCTGAGGCACCTCTGAATGGACTCAAACCTCCAACTTTTCAGTTATCAGCTGAGCATGTTAACTGTCTGCACTACCCAAGGACTCCCTTCTTTACAGTAGGATTTCTTTAATTCAGAGTCTTTAATATACTTACATGTGTTATGAATCTCTTAAAAAGAAAAAACCAAACCCGTTGTCATCAAGGTGATTCCGACTCATAGCGACCCTATAGGACAGTAGAACCACCCCACTGGGTTTCTAAGAAGTGCCTGGTGGATTCGAACTGCCAGCCTTTTTGGTTAACAGCCAGAGTTCTTAACCACTACACCACTAGGGTATGGGTCTCTAAGAAGGAGCAAAATGTTTGTCAAAATTTTTTGACCACAGACTTTGTCTTCTTTTAAAGGACATTCAAGCATTATCAAGCCTTAGAAGGTTTTCCGAATGTTGTTTTCTGTCCACCTCACCAGCCTCATATCCCACCATCACCCCTTTATATTTTATGTTGTAGCAAAGGTGAGTGATTTGTACTACACCAGACATTCCCTTCAGAAGAGGGGCCTGGTGATCGACTTCCAAAATTCAGCCATTGAAAACCCTGTGGAGCACAGATCTACTCTGACACACATGGAGTTGGAATCAACTCAACTCCAACTGGACTGGAAAACACATTCCCTGGTATTGTTTTCCTCTGTGTCCTTGCACACTGCTCTCCCTTCTGTCCAGAACACCCTCATAGGCTCCCTCTGTCTCCCTGGTAAACTCCTACTTATCCTTTAAATCCCTGTTCAAACATTACCTCCTCCAGGAATCCTTCCCTCTGTGGTTCAAATATATTTCCATTACCTAGTTTTTAAAATTGCATCATAATTATTTTGTTCCTTTGCTGTCTTCTCTGCTGGACTGAGAGCTCCATGGGTGCAATGCCAAAATATTTTTATCTTTGTGGTCTCAGTTCATTGCGTAGTCTCTACATATAAACCCATAACTCATTGCCATCGAGCCGATTGCGACTCATACTAACCCTGTAAGACAGAGTAGAACTGCTTCATAGCATTTCCAAGGAGCGCCTGGTGGATTCAAACTGCTGACATTTTGGTTAGCAGCCGTAGCACTTAACCACTACGCCACCAGGGTTTCTTCTCTACATATAATAAGTAGCCTATTGATAAGTGTCTTCAGAATTAAGTTAAATTGGGCTGTATTCGTGAAGTTGACATATCTGACCTGAAGCTAAACTCACTTAACATATTTTGAGGGAAAGCAAAATGGTAAAAGCCATCTGGTAACCATTAGACAAAGATTTAGTTTAGACAAGGAAGCCAAGGCAGCCCCACACAATTCTCTATAAAGAAAAAAGTATTTCATCTCTCTGGAACAGGAAACAGGGCCACAAGTGGAACTACTAGGAAGTAAACAAAATTGTACATACCTCTATGAATAACAGATGACGTGGATGCCTGAGGGAAACTAGTTGGTCCTGTGGTATCTCCATGTGCTGCTTTATTGGGTACCTTTGTGATAGGCTTCACTATGCCATCAGTCCCTGAAGGTGAAGGTGGGGAAGAAACACGGGGTAACTATTCTTATCCAGAAGAGCACTGTCTAAATGGATCCACTTAAATGACTACTCAACACAATTCTGTTCAAATCCTTCTATGTGAACTTGAGTCAGAGCTACATATCATGGGTGTCTACACTCATCACAGATCCATCCATCCACCATATTCTTCCATCCTTCCAGCCATCCCTGGATCTACCAATCTATTCTTCCATCCTTCCTTCTAGCCTTCAGTCATTCCTCCCTCTTTTCCGTTTTCTTTCACCCCTCTTTCCTTCAATCTTTACTTCCTTTCAACATTCCTTCCAGTCTTCCTTCCACCCTTCTTTCCTTCAGTCTTCTTTTGATCCTCTCTTCCATTCATCCTTCCTTCTTTTCATCTTTCTTTATCTCCAGCCATCCATCCTTCCTTCCATTTTTCTCTCTCCTTTCTTCCTTCCACCCACACTTCCACCTTCTTACCATCCCACTCACTACTTACTGAGCACCGATGAAGGAACTACTAAGCCATGTTTTAGGACATGGGTCAATAGCCATCAATGTGTCTGACTTTACTGTGAGTTGTTAAAATTGTGAGAGGGAATCAAAGTCATCCTCCTGTAGACATTGTCTGGAGAAGTAGGTGCTGGAATAGTTAGAGGCCCTCTCTGGTCTTGAGTCCAGAACAAAAGTTGGGGCCAAATTCAGCCCTTTCAGAGGAATGTAATCCCCAAGGGGTTCCTTCCTTCGTCTACCAATCTCCTGGTAGTGGTGTTTCTTCTCTTAGGTCTTGGGTCCCTCCCATATCCTCAGGTACTTTGTTGGCTCAATTTTAATTTGCTCACCTTCTTCTTTAACCTCTTCCTTGATTTTTGACTCTTTGTTGTCAATATATAGAGAAATGCTTCCTTTAATCTATGTAATATTTTAGCTTTTGTCCTAATCCCCTCCACTCCACTGATATTCTCTTCATTAGAATCCCTGAGGACTCCTATGTTACCAAAGAACTTCTCACCTCATTTCAACTTGGCTACTCTTTAGCATTTGATAAAACTAACCACTCCTCGTTCTTAAAACTCACTCTGTCACGCCATACTCTCTTGCTTTTCCTCTTAATCTCTCTGACCATTTCTGCTTAGCCTAATTGCTAAGAGCATGGATTCCCAATGTCAGATAATTTGAGCTCTTATCCTAGTTCTGTCACTTAGCTGTGTATCTTGAGAAAGTGACTTAACCTCTCTGCGTTTCAGTTTCCTCATCTGTAAAATGGGCTTATAATAGTAACTACTTCAGATACTATTGCAACGAGGATTAAATAACTTAGTATAATAGTGCTTGGCACAAAAGAAGCACTGTATAAACAATGTTATTATTGTCATTGTCATTATTAGTAGTAACTACTAGTTAGTAATGTTAGAGCACCAATTATGTACTATAATTTTCAATTATTTGCTTATTTATCTTTGTTTCCATAAAGTTTAAACCAAGTGCCTGGAACTGAGACTAGATCAACAAATACTTGCTGGAAAGAATTTTTGGTATAGGGATAAACTCCTAATTAACTCCTTTTTACCTCTCGGAAAAGGAGCCATTTCCTATGAGCCTCCAGGAATGGGAACATAGGAACTGTGGGTCCTTACTTGTCAAAGGTGCTGAGTGTGAAGGAATTTGAGAACCATTTGTCACTGTTCCCAAGTCAACACTCTCTGTTGTTTTGGTATCCTCAAGGGGTAATAAAGATGTCCTGATTGGCTGGTTCCATGTCTCCAAAGTACTGGCCATCACCAGGCATCCTTTAGCAGTGCTGCTCTTTGCACCAAGGCTGGTCCCCACTGTATGTGGGGCAGCTGGTGAGGAAGTCATCCCATGGAGGGTGGGGCTGGTTGAAGAGTCAGTGGTAGTAAAGGTGGAAGAAGGGAATGGTGTTTCAGCCAGTGAAGGCAGGTTTTCTGCAGTGGTGGAGACAGTATCAACTCCAGGGCTTGACTCTGTCCTAGAGAATGGATTGGCTGAGAGGGCAGCTGAGCTGGTGCCTGGAACTCTAGCTGTGGCAGAGGAAGCCATGGCCTCTGGCAGAGAAGGGCTCATTGTGTCAGCTGGGATGGTCTCAGCTGAAGGAGGCATATCTGTGCTCAGGTGACGAGTGCTTCCTGGTACAGATGCACTAAGGTTGGATTCTGGGAGGGAAGTTACCCCAGTAGACCCAGTAACAGAGGGAGAAGCATAAAGGTGAGTGATTGTTTCCACAGGAATTTCAGGTAACTGCGAAGATGGAGACTGATCTGGGATTGATATTGTTACAGAAGAGGTGGTATCTGTCTTTGGTTCCTTCAAGAGATGAGTGGGCACAGGAGTTGCAGGTGTGTGTGATGGTATGGCTCAGCTACTGTCCAGAGACATGCTAGTGTCCCTCAATCCAGGAGTCAGATGGGAAAGTGGTGCTGTCTCAAAACTTGCGGTCTCCAAAGAGGCAGGTATTGACATGGGAATAGTGGTGTCCCCCATTGTAAAGGCAGTAACCACTGGATACGTGGTTCTGGATGGCTCTGAATGGATCAGGACTGCGGAACCTGATTCATGTCCAGAACTGGTGGTCATCACAGTGGTCATTGTATTTGTGGAAAGGTGAATTGCCTTTATATTCATGGTGGTTTCTGAAGTGGACTTTATCTCAACTGAAGTGTTGCTCAAACTTGAAGGTGAACTGATGCCTGGTTTCAAGCTTGTGCTCAACATTGTTGAGGTTGTGACTAGGTCAGAGGTGAGAGGTGAGGTAACAGGAAGAGAAGAGGAGGGACTGGACTCTGGTAATGTGGATGAAACAAGGGAAGATGAGGTTGTGGCAGGGATAGGTGATAGGGAATATAAAAAGCTGGTTTCTTCCACAGAGGGAGGGCTCGACACATCCTTAGGACCTCTGTTCATAAGAGTGGTCATCTCTAAGTGTGGAAAATCCTGAGCAAAAACCGAGGGGGTCTTTACCCATGAGGCTGTGGTTAATGTGTTCAAGGTAAGTGTACCTGTTTGAGGGGTGAGCGTCATTCCTGCAGTATCTTTCATGAGAAGGGAGGTTGAAGGGCTGATACTGCCTTCTGTCACTGTATCAGTAGAACTTTTGGACTGATCAGGGCCTGGGTTGGATATTCTGTCAGAGGATATGAGTCCTATCCTGGAGACCTCAGTATTAGTAGCACCAGTGGACACTTGAGCAGGGAGAGGGTTTATATCTGTAGCTGAGATAGTCGGCTGGGAAGTGGTGTACTCGGTCATTCCAGGGGTCAGGGAGGAAGTTGACTCACTCTCAATCCTTGTGATCTCATAGAAGACAGGTGTTAACGTGGAAACAGCGGAAGTAACCAGTGGAGCTGTGGCCCCAGAGGGCCTTGAGGAGGCAAATTGGGTCCCTTCCAAGGAGACTGGATAGTGTGTCCAAGCTAAGTGCATCCAGTGATGCAGTAGGCTCAGGAGAAACAGTCTGTGTGGTTAGGGTTTTGTGTGTAGACCCTGTCATGAGAGGGGAGATAGAGGGTCTACTGCTGGTTCCTGAGAAGATTTCTGGGGACCACGTTGACTGAGTAGAACCTGGAATGAGTGTTCTATCAGAGGATGGAATGTCTGTCTTGGAGAGCTCAGTAGTAGCAGCACCTGTTGATACATGGGAAAGAACAGTGTATGTCTCAGAAGGTGAGTTGGTTCGTTGGGAAGTGTTGGTTTCTCTCATTCCAGTAGTAAAGGAGGAAAGTGGCATTGTCTCAATCCTTGTGGTCTCAGAAGATGCAGGTTGTGATGTGGGAACAGTGAAGTCTACCATCCTGGAGGTGGTAGCCACTGGAGATGTGACCCTGGAAGGCTCAGAGTGGGCCAGGACAAAAGAAAGTGATACATGTTCAGAACTGGTGGTCCCAACTGTGGCCTTTGCTGTGTTTGTGGAAGGGTGAATTGCCCCTGTGTCTGTGGTGGCTTCAGAAGTGGTCAATATATCCCTTGAGGTGCTGCTTATGTTTGGAGGTGAACTGTTGCCAGGTTCCAAGCTTGTCCCCAAACTGGCTGTGGTCTTCACTGGGCCAGAGGTCAGAACTGAGGTCCCAGGATGAGGAGAGGAGGGACTGTTCCCTTGTAACATGGAGGACACAGAGGAAGGTGAGGTCGTGACAGGAGTATGTACCATGGAAGACAGAGATCTGGCTTCTTCCACAGAGGGAGGGCTCAACACATCTTGGTGGTTATCTCTGAGTGTGATCTGAACGTGGTCATCTCTGAGAGTGGTCATCTCTGACTGTGGAAAACCCTGAGTCAAAACTGAGGAGGTCCCTGTCCCAGAATTTGTGGCTGATGTGTCCAAGGTAAATGCACCCTGTGACATAGCTCTAGGAGGACCTGTTGTGGTGGCAAAGGTTATTCCTGCAGATTCGGTCCTGAGATGGGAGATAGAGGGATTGGTGTTGCTTTCTGTAGGTGTGTTGGGAGACATTTTGAAATGAGTAGAGCCTGGGATGGATGTCCTGCTAGAGGAGATGGTTTCTGTCCTGGAGACTTCAGTAGCAGCACCAGTGGACACAAAGAAAAAGACAGTGCTTGTATCTTTAACTAAACTGGAATCTAGTGATGTTCTTGGTCTCCCTCAGTCCATGGGTCAAGGAGGAAGTTGACTCTGCCTCAATCTCAGTGGTCTCATAGTATTCAGTGAATGATGTGGAAACACTCATCTCCCCCATGATAGAGGTTGTATCTATATGAGATGTGACCCTGGGTGGCTCTGAAGGGGCTGGGACCAAGGAATGTAGCTTATGTCCAGAACTGGTGGTCCCCACGGTGGCTGCTACTGTGTTTGTGGAAGGGTGAATTGCCTCCATATCCTTGGTGGCTTCAGAAGTGGTCAGTATGTCACTTGAGGTGCTGCTCAAATTTGGGGGTGACCTGGTGCCAGGTTCCAGGCTTGTGACCGACATGTCTGTGGTCTTCACTGGGCCAGAGGTGAGAACTGAGGTCTCAGGAAGAGGAGAGGAGTGACTGCCTCCTTGTAAGATAGAGGATACAGGGGAAGGTGAGCTGGTGGCAGGAGTAGGTGCCTGGGAGTAGAGAGAACTGGTGTCTTCAGTAGAGGGTGTGCTCATTCTTGACACATCCAGAGGATCTTTGCTTTTGAGAGGGTGTGCTCATTCTTGACACATCCAGAGGATCTTTGCTTTTGAGAGTGATCATCTCAGAGTGTTGAAAACCATGAGTCACAGCTGAAGGGGTTCCTAGCAAGGAGGCTGTGGTTGATGAGTCCAAGGTAAGTGCACCCTGTGATATAGCCCCAGGCTCATCTGTTTGGGTGGTGAAGGTCATTCCTGCAGATTCCATCCTCAGAGGCAAGGTAGAGGAGATGGTGTTGCTCTCTGTAGTTATGTCAGTAGAACCTTTGGATTGAGCAAGACTTGGGTTTGATATTATATCGGTGGCTATGATTTCTAGCTTGGAGACCTCAGTAGTTTCAGTACCAGTGGACACTTGGAAAAGAACAGGGATTGTCACTGTGGTTGATCTAGTTGTGCCAGATTCCAAGCTTGTGCCCAACATATCTGTGGACTTCACCAGACCAGAAGTGAAGACTGGGGTCACAGGTAGCAGAGAGGACGGGCTGTACCCTTGTAATGTGGACAATATAGGGGAAGGTGAGGTTGTGGCAGGGAGAAAGGACAAAGAAAAGGAAGAGCTTGTTTCTTCCACAGAGGGAGTTCTGGTCCTTGATACATCCTCAGAACCTTTGCTCATGAGAGTGGTCATCTCTGAGTGTGGAAGACGCTGAGTCACAACCGATGGCATCCCTGCCCAGGAGGCCATAGTTGATGTGTCCAAGTTAAGTGCACCCTTTGAAATAGCCCTGGAAGTACCCGTTTGTGTAGTGAAGGGCATTTCTGCAGATTCTGTCCTGACAGGGGTGTTAGAGGGGCTGGTGCTACTCTGTATAGATGTTTTGGGAGAAGATTTAAACTGAGTAGGGTCTGTGATGGATGTCTTGCTAGAGGAGGTGAATTCTGTCCAAGACACTTCAGTAGTAGCAGTACCAGTGGACATATAGGAAAGGACAGTGCTTGTCTCTGTGACTGAAGTGGTCATTAGAGAGGTGCTCATATTCTTTAGTCCAGGAGTTTTGTTGGAGATTGTCTCTGTCTCTAGTCTATTGATTTCAGAGAAGGCAGACGTTGATGTGGAAGTAGTGGTGTCACCCTTGGTGGAGGCAGCATCAATTGGATTTATGGCCCCAGCGGGCCTTGAGAAGGGTAGTTGGGTCCCTTCCCAGGAGCCTGTGGTTGATGTGCCCAAGGTAAGTGCACTCAGTGATGTATCCCCAGGAGGACTTGTCTGTGTAGTGAAGGTCATGTGTACAGATTCTGACATGGGAGGGAAGATAGAGGGTCTACTGCTGGTTCCTGAAGGGATATCCAGGGACCTTGTTAATTCAGTAGGTCCTCGGATGAATGTGCTATCAAAGGAGGGAAACTCTGTCCTTGAGAGCTCAGTAGTAGCAGTATCCATGCACATATGGGAAAGGACAGTGCTTTTCTCTTTAGTTAAACTGGTCCTCTGGGAGGTGCTGGTGTCCCTCAGTTCAGAGGTTTGTGAGTAAGTTGGCTCTGTCTCAATTCTGGTAGTATCAAAAGAGAGAGGTGTTGATGTGGAAAAAGTGGTGTCCTCCATTGTGGAGGTGGTAACTACTAGAGATGTGACCCAGGATGGCTCTGAGTGGACCAGGACAGTGGAATGAGGTTTCTGTGTAGAATTTGTGGTCCACACACTTGTCTCTGCTGTGTTTGTAGAAGACTGAATTGCCTCCTTGTCAGTAGTGGGCTCAGAAGTAGCTATTCTCTCATATGTGCTGTTTTTCCAACTTGGGAATGAACTTGTCCCGGATTCCAAGCTTGTGTCCAGCAGATCTGTGGTCCTCAATAAGCTTGAGGAGTCAGTAACCTTCTTGATTGTCCCTCTCAAGCCAGGAGAGACACTTAGCACCTCAGTGTTCAGAGATGCGCTTGAGGCTATTTCTTCCCTGGTCCAGGAGTCAGATGTAGCTCTTGGTTCTGTTTTAGGAGTACTTAGCCCATGTCCCTGGGGAGTTGGATCTGGAGTTCGTTTTGTGTATGACGTCATACCCAGAGTTGTTGCTGTTGTTCTGGACACGTGCCGTGGAGTTGCAGAAGTTGTGGTGGGAGGATAGGTAGAACTCTGTTCTGCCTCTCTGCTGGTGAGAACTTGACTCCCTGAGAAAGTGACTTCATTGCTACTTACCATTGCATCAGGTGTGACCCCACTTGTAATGCCTCCTATAGAGAGGAGCAGCTGGGAGGTGGATGGGCTGATCATGGTCTCTAAAGGGAGTTTTTGGGGAGTTGTACCCCCCTGAGGAGCTGAGGTAGTGATTGTGGCTGACCCGGATCTCCCAGTGATCCAGTCAACAGTGGACAGAGGATCAGGCAGAGGAGTGTGCAGAGGGGTATTGGTGTCAGTCGTTGTAACTGGATGGTCTGTAGAAGGCACTGAAACAGGCAGGGTTTCTGTTTCTGTTGAACTGGGAGACCAACTTGTGCTCGAAATGTCAGGAACTGAGGTGCTCAGCCCCTGTACACCAGAAGAAGTTGAGATAGGCATAGAGTCGCGTGTCCGAAGGACTCAGTGTTCTCACATTTGTGTGTATCTTTTCAGCTGAAGCAGAGGAGGATGGAGTGGCCAGTCTTGTTCCAGTGATAGTCATTTGGCCATGAGGAGCAATCCTGGAGCTCGAAGTAGTGGTTGATGCTGAGGATGAAGTTGTCCCTACTGCAGAAAATGCCTCAGGAGAAGCTGTGACTTCCAGATTTGAAGCCAGGCCTGTGATAGTCCAGGGGCCTGATGTTGGGGCAGAAGCAGCTCTGGAGGGCCAGTGGGGAGGGTGCCTTAGGGCAGCTGTGCTGATCTCTGTGGCCACGATACTGTCTGTAGTGCTTACACTTCCCTCTGGGCTGGGCATGGTAGTCTGAACTGAGCTTATTCCCATGGTGATGATGCTGGTGGTGACAGCTGGAGTAGGGGCACCCCCAGTGCTCGTTCTTACAGATGGGGTCTGTGATAGTTGCCCAGGTGTAGAGGCACTGTCACTAGTCACTACACTTGTGGTGGCCACCAGACTCTTAGGCTCCATTGAGGGGAGTGTGATAGATGGTGAAGAGCCTATTTTTCCTCCTGAAGCATTGGTTGGGCTGATGATGGGTTGGCCTTTATCGGTCAGAGACACTAGTGAAATGAATTGGGCTGTGGACTTGGAAGTGATGTGCAGTGTATCTGTGGCCTCAGAGAATGTACCGAGAGTCTGCTCACTCCCAGCTGTGTGCTCTGACCATGGGCTAGCAGATGAATAAGTCCCATTCACAGGTCCACTTACCCACCGTTCAGCTGCAATTGTCTTTTTACTCAGGACGGTGGAAGGAATGACAGTGGTGCTGACCCATTTGCTGGTGCTAAGTTCAGATGTATCTGTCACTGAGCTCATGGTTACCCTGTGGGTAGTTGCAGAGTCTGGAGTGATCGCAGTCTCCCATGCCAGTGGAAGATGTGCTCAAAGGAACATGGGTATCCGTTGTGGTCCCTCTAGTGAGTCCAGGCCACTTTGAAGACAGAGATATGCTGCTTTGCTTACCAGTCCCTATAGTGGCTCTAGGAGTTGTCCACCATTCAACTGTCACTGTCTTTCCACTCAGGATAGTGGAAGGAATGAACGTGGTGCTGACCCATGTTCTGGATCTAAGTTCAGACTGATCTGTCACAGAGGTTGTGGTTAGCTTTGGGATTGTAACAAAACTTGTTGCAGAGTCTTCTAGGTCAGTGGAAGCTGTGCTCAGAGGAACATGTGTGTCCACAGTGGTCCCCCCAGTAGGGTCAAACCACGTGTACAACTCGATTCCAACTATCTTGGGAGTCTGAGCAGGGCTGCTTTCCTTACCAGTCCCTGTGGTATCACTAGGATTTGACTCTGAGAGGAAAGAGGACACTGTGCCCCATGACTGGCTGGTCCCTCTGGGTGTCCCAGAATAGGGGCTGGCCCAAGTCTCAGATGGGGGTGGGGAGAGGGAAACCCTTTATGTAGGCAGTATTTGTTCTGTTGGTGACTCCACTGGCACTGTGACTCCTGTGTGCAGGTGAGGGAGTCTCATGCTGCCACTCTCTGTGGCCCTGGACTGAAGGGTAGGCAGTGCCACCATGGTATCTGTGGGAGAAATTTCTGTCAGAGTCTCCCTTGGAGACGTTCTCACAGTGGATCTGGTCTCTGGGCTGCTGCTGGGCTCCTTGAAGCTTGTTATTTATGAGGTCTTCAGGTGTTCCTGGGCTTCTGGTGGGCAGGCCTGTGACTAGAACAGCTCTTTAATTAGGAAGTATGCAAGGAGGTGGAAGGGGAGTTCTTCTGGTTTCGATTTTCTTTCCTCCCTCCTTATAATCTATTGGATACATCCTCTGCCCATATTCTGGCCCTCTAAAACCAAACTCATCGCCATTGAGTTGATTACCATGCATGGTGACCCCATGTGATACAGAGTAAAACTGCTCCGTAGGATTTTCTTCACTATAATCTTTACAGAAACAAATCACCAGGCCCTTCTTCCACAGCACCACTGGGTGGCTATGAACCACCAACCTTTAGGTTAGTAGTTGAGTACAAACTACTTGTGCCACCCAAGGAACTTCTAGCCCTCCAGACTGCAGGAATCATTTTCTATCTGTATGTCTAACGCAAGGTATAACACATTGGTCTCTTGCTGGTTTGAAGAGCTAATTTTGGCACTAGAAGTTTCTGTCTGCAGCATGGCCTCTACACAGACCTATCTACATGGCTATTATCATAGTGAAGGGTAAAGATTTCACTCAAGAATGAGGAAGAATATCTTTCTTCTTTTACTCCATTTTTCGTCCTTGGGACCAGGATTTAATCAACCTATTTGAGTCTGATAAACTGCCTTTCTCCCTAGGGCCACAAAACTTTTTTGTCTCTTAAGGAACACTAAGCTTCTGTCAAGAGTGATGGAAAAATTTGGGAATGGTTAATGGTACTGATTGAACAACATGACGATCATATTTAATGTCACTGAACTGTACCTTTGAAGATTGTTGAAATGGAAAGTGTTTTGTTATCTATAAATTCAACACAATAAAAAATGGTTAAAAACTAAAACAAAAACTTAGTATCTAATTGAAAGCACGCTCCATCGTTGGGCTTCAGTAGACTAGGGGAAGAGGAAATGGGACGGCTTACTTCCTGTATATTTTTATTTATTTTCCTCCAAGTCTCTCGTCGCCTTAGAATTGTTTTGTCTTCCAGCACTGAAGGACATACCACATGACTGCTTCAGGAATCAGGACAACTGTCCTCTTCAGCCTCACCACCTCAAGTGAAAACTCCTCTCAACTGCAGGCTATGTATTTAAAGCCACAAAAAAGGTCCACAATTCTTTCGTCTTTTACTGCAGTCTGTAAATTGTCGTATAATGCAAATCTACATTATCTCATGTTCACCCTTCTCCTTCACTCTCAACCTCTGACCTTACTGATGGTCTGTGATCTAGGAAGCCACTTCACCTTTATTCGGGGTATGTGCAGAGAAATGATCTTGTGTCATCTCCTAACGGTGACATAATTGACTTCTGATCACATACATTAACAAAGTAGAAGCAATCAATGTTAAGAGTGAATAAAATCTCAGTGTAAAAATATTATCAGTAGCCTCTGTGTATAATAGCAGGAAGTCACCCTCACAGAGGAGTTCCTGGGTGGTGCAGATGGTTAACAAGTTGGGCTGCTAACTAAAAGGATGGAGGTTCAAGTCTACCCAGAGGCTTCTCAGAAGAAGGGCCTGACAGTCTACCTACTAAAAATCAGCCCTTGAAAACTCAGTGGAGCACAGTTCTGTTCTCACAGACATGGAGTAATCATGAGTTGAAAACAACTCGGTAGAAACTGTTTGTTTTTTTAATCCTCACCTACCAGAACCCAGGATTTAAAGAATCAAAGGCTTTATTACAGAGACCAGGAGGAAATACCGACATAGAGCGCACAGATGGTCATACGTACCCAGATCCAAATTGACAGTAGTCATCAGAAATGTGGGATCATCGGTTGACCACGTGATATCTCCATGTGCCCCTTCTGTCAGTGACTCCCTAGTTGTGATCACTACAGACTGATCAGGCCCTGAAGGAGAAGAGGGTAGAAGTGTCAGTCATGCATTTCCTCAGAATACATGTCCACAAGGAGCACTCTCACATCTCAAAGAATAAGTCCCTAAAATTCTCAAGATGGCTTGGATCATATTGAGCTGTTGATGATGGAACTACTGGTGAGATGTGGTCTCAAGCAGAAAGCACTTTAGAGATATCCTGTCTCCATCACTTACAATATGTGAATTCAATATCACTTAGTTTTTCTTTCCCATATTTGGACTTTAAGTAAAATCAGGATAATATCATAGAATCCTATCAGATTAGTGAACATATATAAATAACATTTTTTGATTACTGACTCTGTTTTCCTTTAACATTCTTTTAGAACAGTTGTCATTGCATACTTCATACCTGGGATGGGGAAAGTTAGACTCTGACTGGGAGGAAATGAATTTGAGGTTAAAGATGCTTAAAGTCCCACTAGCTTCTAATAGAGAATAGAATGACCATAGTAGTGGTGTGGAATTAGAAAGGAGAGTTTCGGCAGGAATTTTCTTTTTTCCCCATTCAGCCATACCTGCCAAACCTGAGGACCCCAATGCAAAGGAAGTCAGGAACAGTGGGTTCTTACTTGTAAATGGGATGGAATGATCAAAGGCTGGAGTGGAGCTGGGCTCTACAGCAGGGGAACTCTCCTCAGTGGCTGTAGTCTCAGCTATGTCAGATGTGGGTGGTCTGTTCCCAGCCACGGATGTGGAGATGTCTACAGAGGTCATCTCAGTGGTCCTGTCCTCTCCTGTAGCAGTGCTCAGGGACTCGGAGGAGCCTTCTGGGAAACCAGTGACTGGAACAACTGTGGTTTTCAGGGAATGACTGTTTGTGGATGATGAGGATAGTGTCATGCCTGAGGTAGGAGGAGGTGAAGTGGGGTTCCTGGGCCCCCCTATTTCAGAGGAACCAGAGGAAGTTGAGGTTAATCTGGAGACTGGCACTTGTGAAGAGGTTTCTTCTTCAGAAGAAGGGCTTGTCTGTGGCAGAACTTCTGGTTGTCTCCTCATAGGAGTGGTCATCTTTGAGGGTGGAAGGTCCCCAGTCACAGCTGATTCATCTGTCACAGAGGTTACAGTTACCTTTGGGAT